AACATCACATGTCACTCTGGAACCTTACCAGATTCCAAAGGGCAATATTGGAAATCATAATGATTCCCGAGCTCCCAAACCAGGTAAGAAGGAGTAATGTCAATCCATTAAGGAAATCACTTCTGGGGAGATACTTTGTGCAAACCTCGAGGAAGGGACTTGGAGTCTCTGTTCCCAAGAGTAGATGCAGTTTTACTGAACAGTACCACACCCACACATTTCCCAATTCAAACTGGGACATTCTCCAATATTGACCTGTCAGTTGGTTCACCTGATTCACAGATGAATTTCACTTGGCATGTCATGGAAGATTTACATGGAAGCAACCACTTTCCAATACTTTTGGAGGAGGTGAATGGTATTCCAGTCAATGGAGTACAGAGATGGCCACTTGAACATGTGGACTGGAATCCTTTTAGATCAATTACAGTATTGCAAAGAGCATCACGAATTCACCTTGCAGCAAAAGCATCCATTCCCAAAAGTAGTGGGCAGTACCATCGACCTCCGGTACCGTGGTGGTCTTATGAATGCCAACAAGCTGTTAGAGCAAGAAAAACTGTATTAAGGCAGTGGAAACGATTCCCCAGTGATGTAACCTTGATCCGTTATAAAAAGATCCGAGCCAAGACCAGGTAAGCGTTAAAGGAGGCTAGACGGACGTCGTGAAGACATTATGTATCCTCTATGTATGTATCCCTTAGCATAGGTATGGGACAAGGTGTGTAAGATCGCTGGAAAGAGCACATCCATGTCACCACCTGCTCTGAAGATTTCATAATTTTCACAGACAAAAAAGATGTTGCAAATCAGCTAGTTAAATCCATGGCATGAGGTCTTCCCATGTGCATGTTGCTCTGTTTATGTTCACTAGACTGACCTGGAGGAGCAAGAGGAAGCAGACAAAGAATGCGACGCCGATCAGGACTCTCATGGCTGAACAGGATTGACATCCAGTGTTGTTCTTCAGTAGGACTGCTGCAAAACTTTCATACAACTTGCCATTTTTGTGCAAGGAGATGGACTCTGCTATGCAGCTCTACAATAAGAAATGATGATATTCCATGCCAAATGATATCTCACATACCAGAGAGCTCCCAAAAGTTCCTATTGAACCCATTCAATAGAATCTATACAGAGGGCACAGTGCCATCCAAATGGAAAGAGGCTACAATAATTCCTGTCCTTAAACCTGGTGAGGATGCATCCATTCCAGGGAATTACAGACCAATTTCTCTCATCAGCTGCATCTGCAAGCTGATGGAGAAAATGGTAAACTTCATGTTGACATGGCCTGCTAGAAAAGGAAAACGTGCTGAACCCATATCAATATGGGTTTAGAAAATTGAGATCGATCACAGATGAACTTGTGAGGTTGGAAACTGCTATAAAGAATTCCTTCGCACAGCGACGTCATATGTTAGTAGTCTTCTTTGACCTTGAAAAAGCTTATGATACCGCTTGGAAGCATAGCATACTCATGAAGCTGTACCTACCTTCATACAAAGCTTCCTTACTTACAGGAAGTTTAGAGTGAGGGTGGGAAACAGTTTTTCAAACATGGAAGATCAGCTGGATCAGCAATAACTTTTTCTCCAAGGAAGACCATGGCCATGCAGTTCCATCCTTCCCTCTATTTAGGAGCAAACCCACTGCATTTTGTCCAAGAGGTGAAGTACTTGGGTTTAATTTTTTACTCAAGGCTTACATGGTTGCATCAAATTAAACATTTAAAGGTGAAAGCTACAAAAGCACTTAGTATTTTGAGGGTTCTTTCACACCTATCTTGGGGTGTAGACCGTACAATGCTTCTGAAGCTTTACCAAACACTTATTTGTAGGAAACTAGACTATGGATGTGAGGCATATTCATCTGCAACTCCCACTGTTTTCTGGATGTTGGATCCAATTCATAATGAAATTCTTAGAATCTGAACAGGGGCTTTCAGGTCTTCATCTGTGGAGTCCCTGTATGCTTAGAGCGGAGAACCACATCTTTCATTGCACCGGGACTACATCAACGTGATTTACTACACGAGACTACGAAGGATTCTGGGATCTAATAGGAGAATTGAGGAATCTTGTGGAAGATCTTAATTCAAATTTCACTAAGGTTCTGGCTGTTGGAACTCCCCAATTACTTCAAGTCAAGCTGGATTTGGTCGGAATTGGGAAAGGGAGAGATCTGAAGCAGAAGTCAGAGAGATATTTCCTCAGCACACTTCTATGTACCAAGGATCAGATGCAATACATACAGATGGTTCGAAATCTGAACATGGTGTGGGCTTCGCAACAGTGAGCAGAAGGAAGACTGCATTTGACAGTCTTTCTCTAGCAGCCTCAATCTTCACTGCAGAGTTACATGCCATCCTTGCTAGACTAGATGACTAGAGATCTTACGAACCATTCCGTTTTAATATATTGTGATTCTCACAGTGCCTTGCAAGCAATCAAGAGTTTAAACTCATCATATCCATTGGTGAGGGAATTTCAAGATTGGC